CCCCCCCCCCCCCCCCCCCCCCCACCCCCCTGGGCGCGACAGTTAAAGTCAGGTAAACTTTGATCTATTTCAACTATTACCTTTGACTTCTATAGAATTCGCACTTGGAAGACTCAATGTTGCAAGTGTCTGATGTCAAGTGTCCAACGTTCTAATTATGTCACTTTCCCAATTAAGAACAACGGATTAGAAGATTAACATATTCCTTCGCAACGAAGAAATACATGGGTAGAGATACAGTTTGACTTACTGGTTTTTCATGTTGCAAAAATCAGACACGTTACGTTTTGTTTTATTTTATAAGATTTGCCACACACAAACATAAATACCACTAAACTATAAAATACAACTAATTACGCAATGTTACAGAATTTACATACAGTACGGGCAGGGACTGACTGATAATTTTGTGTTATGGGATAATGACTGTAAATAAAGATCTCAGTTCATAATAATATGGACACAGAATGTTATACACATGTATGTCCGACTTTGTTTGAATACTTTGATCTTAGCGCAAATCATAGTTAATATATATGACATGGTTTAGAAACCCTTTGTTTTTGGTGATTGTGTACATTGTGCTGGGTCACGGTTGAAAAATCCTTTGTCTTTCTATTGTTTTGACAATAGTCAGTTCAGACAGCTTGGCGTAACGAATGGGTACCAACTGTTTGTTTTGCCTACCAGAGCTATATCTTACGGCATATTTTGCCAATAACGAAGTATTACTACCATATTTCGATGGAGAATGTTTGTAGTGTTACATCGTTTGGTCAATTCTCATTGATTAAAACCAATATGTGCAGGGTCAAACAGACTGTTCAACCTCCATGTTTGTTTATAGCGTAATTTTTTTATAAGTTTATCAGATAACTTTTTTTATTAGTCAATGCAGTACACTGTTTTAATATTGGTTAATGCACAATTTGTACCTTGTTTTTGCATTGTTGGTACTTGTTGAATTAATGCCAATATGACACAAAGAAAGTGTAACTTTCAACAGCAAGAATCTGATGTAGCTCTATAATAGATTGATCTACTTAGTTTGCAACAATATATACAGCATTTTTTTTATCCTACCAACTTAAGTTAAGAAATAAGTCTTATTGTATTACATTTTATTTATATGTTAAAAACTGAATAAATATTTATTAAATATAATATTATTTTTCTAATATGTAGTACTTCCAAAGTATACCAGCCATCAAGTTACCAATGACAATATCTATACTCAGCTAGCTTTAATACCAGATATATCGCTACCGTCATATTTGTATGTGGATAGGATAGTTTCCGATATTTCATTGAGGACCAAAACAGAGACTTTCAAGTTTGAAAGCAAATTTTTTATGTCATCTTTATTTAAAAAAGTGTGTACAAAATTACTGCTTGATCAACTACAATTATCATATACCCACCATACCTAGTCGATAATTGTTTATATTTTTAAGATACACATCCTAAAATAATCCATGGCACATCCGTCACATGGCTTCATATAAACAATGTAAACAAGCTAGCTATCAGCACTCACCGTAATTTACGTCAGAAAGAGATAAATGGTTACATATCTAATTCGTCAGTAGTAATACCCCCCACTATGGAGTACAAAGGGATGCCGCCAATGACGTCACGCTGCTCCGAAAGTAATTAGTATGCAAAATATGTGACGTAAATTTGCTGGCCCTAACCCTAACCTTGGGCCAACTGTGCCAGGTAGCGCGACCAATTAACGCGGGCAGGCCTGGCCCAACTGTGACAGGTAGCGCGACCAATTAACGCGGGCAGGCCTGGGCCAAACGCGATCAATTAGCATTACAATACAGTAGCATCACTATAAATACAGCTAGTGTCCTTTCACCTGCATAGTCTTTGCTGGTCCTAACCCTAACCTTGGGCCAACTGTGTCAGGTAGCGCGACCAATTAACGCGAGCAAGTCTGGGCCAAATGTGACAGGCAACTAAAACTCATGTATTTTGATTGTTTTTTTCGCATGACTAAAACATGCTCTTGCGATAGCTCAGTTGGTAGAGCGGAGGACTGTAGTTCCTTAGGTTGTTGGTTCAAGCCCAGCTCGCAAGATTTAAAATAACCGGACACTTTGAAAGCTTACAGCGAAGCATATAGTCTAATTAGCTCGGAGCCTGGCTCGGAGCGGGTCCGTTCGAAGCATAGTATTTAATCAGTACTGCCTCTGCGACTGCGAAAAATGAAAACGATAGTTTTACAAGGTTATGACGAAATAGAGGGATTAATCTTGGCCTACTATGAATAGCTCGAGTCTCTCACATGGCAAAATTGTTATCGAAATTAATATATAGCAGAGTTATAGCCGTATCTTTGCTCGGAAGAGATAAATT